TATCTTTAGATCATCATTAGGTACGTTCGCAGGGTCAGGGTATGTGGCAAAATTATTAAAAATTATTACCTTGGTTTTTTGCAGCATGAACAAATTGATTTTTTGGCAATTTATAACAAATAGCTTTTTCGTCAAAAATCTTGAAAGCGAAGAATTGGGAGCTCTCTGATATTGAATTTTCAAACTCCCGCGCATTTTTCGTCCTCGTTCTTACTCAAAACCCGAAATATTTCAATAAGTAATATTCATTTTACTTCATTTGAAAAATTCTAATCCTAACTAGAGAACAATTAATAAATTTACCTGATACCATCGATATTGTGCGCTTAACGTAAGGTGGAATCCTTCATGGCAATTGAATATAATAAGTTGATTCTAGAAAATTGTTCTAAATATAATACTACAAAGTAGTTGCAAGTACAAACAATCCTTCAAAAAGTAGTTTGCATTCTTACCACGCCCTGATTTATGAGATATTCTGCAATGTAGACCACTGATAATGGTATCATTAAATGTAGAAGAGGCTTAAATAAATATTACATTAACCTCTTTGTAGCTAAATTTGTAAAAAATTGCAGAGATACGTAAGACGAACCACGATGTGGCGTACTCGTTCTATAAAAGTCATCTTCCTTTGAGGAAGTTCTTGTCCTGTTGCATCGCCGTATTCTCCCAATATCGTTTCCTTCTGTTCTCCGGTGAAATCATGAGGTTTCTTTAACAAAAGACATTACGTAGAGGAGTAAAGTGACCTTTGAATAGAGCTTACATCAACTTCCTCTGGTACGATCCAAGTCTGTGGATGCCATCCTGGTCTGTGAACGCCTTTAGGAATAATGAGAATGAAGAAGTAGCTGAAGCACCAGTGCTTAATTGAGTGAACGACGGCTCATGGATGGAAGGGTATATGTACTAGTAGATAAAACTTACGCTAACAGATATGCGATTGGAATGAAAAGCTGTACTAGTAGAGCAATCTTGGGTTTAAGATTACCCATAGAACGATCTGTCAGAAAAGCATAAACAAAGG